CTTTGGTATTACTTTTAATATTATTAATTATTGTAAAGTAATAAGAAACAATTGAAATAGCAACAAATTAACTAGACAAAACGTGATTTATCCATTGTATATTTTTATTGTTTTGTTATTGTTAATAGTTTTCCTTAATAATTTTACCAAAAAATGTCCTTTTACTGAAGTATATTTTTGGAATCTATTGAACTTTTAGGAATTGTATAAGTGAAAAATTCTTTTTCTATCGAAATATAAAGGATATACATATCATAAGCAAACAAATTCAAATTGCATTCGATTAAAAGCTCACTTTTTTCGGTTGTACTTAAGTTAATTTGATTCATTAAATAAACAATTGAATGGGTAAACAATGAAATACTTGCAATAGCTGAACTTTATCAAAAAGGTATGCTAACAACACATCTGCAAAACAATTGTCGCTTAACTTATCAACAACAGTATTAACATTTCTTAATTAACAGTATACTAAAAATTGTTGCAGTAAAAGTACTATTACTAAAAGAAAGTACTCTATAAATTCTCAGTTGAATACATATTTTGTAATTAACAACTGAAAATAAACTAATCGCAATGCTTCATGTTTGCTACAAATAAATAAGTACCCTATTGAAACGATTCTATAACTTCTTTCTTCCTCTTTCATCCACCATCCATTCCTTTAATTCTAATACATCCTTCCAACACATGCATCAAAGTTTTATCTTCCCGTATAAAAATTCTGCAACTTCTTTCTTCCTCATTCATCCACCATCCATTCCTTCGATCATAATACATCCTTCCAACACATGCAACACTGTTTCATGCTCCCTTTCACAAATTTTACAACTTTCTTCTTTCTCTTTCATCCACCATCCATTCCTTCGATTCTAATACATCCTTCCAACAGATGCATCAATATTTCATGCTCCCATTCACAAATTCTACAACTTCCTTCTTTCTCTTTCATCCACCATCCATTCCTTCGATTCTAATACATCCTTCCAACAGATGCATCAATATTTCATGCTCCCATTCACAAATTCTACAACTTCCTTCTTTCTCTTTCATCCACCATCCATTCCTTCGATTCTAATACATCCTTCCAACAGATGCATCAATATTTCATGCTCCCATTCACAAATTCTACAACTTCCTTCTTTCTCTTTCATCCACCATCCATTCCTTCGATTCTAATACATCCTTCCAACAGATGCATCAATATTTCATGCTCCCATTCACAAATTCTACAACTTCCTTCTTTCTCTTTCATCCACCATCCATTCCTTCGATTCTAATACATCCTTCCAACAGATGCATCAATATTTCATGCTCCCATTCACAAATTCTACAACTTCCTTCTTTCTCTTTCATCCACCATCCATTCCTTCGATTCTAATACATCCTTCCAACAGATGCATCAATATTTCATGCTCCCATTCACAAATTCTACAACTTCCTTCTTTCTCTTTCATCCACCATCCATTCCTTCGATTCTAATACATCCTTCCAACAGATGCATCAATATTTCATGCTCCCATTCACAAATTCTACAACTTCCTTCTTTCTCTTTCATCCACCATCCATTCCTTCGATTCTAATACATCCTTCCAACAGATGCATCAATATTTCATGCTCCCATTCACAAATTCTACAACTTCCTTCTTTCTCTTTCATCCACCATCCATTCCTTCGATTCTAATACATCCTTCCAACAGATGCATCAATATTTCATGCTCCCATTCACAAATTCTACAACTTCCTTCTTTCTCTTTCATCCACCATCCATTCCTTCGATTCTAATACATCCTTCCAACAGATGCATCAATATTTCATGCTCCCATTCACAAATTCTACAACTTCCTTCTTCCTCTTTCATCCACCATTCGTTCCTTCGATCCTAATACATCCTTCCAACACATACATCAATGTTTCATGCTCCCTTTCACAAATTCCACAATTTCCTTTTTTTTTCTTTCATCCACCATCAATTCCTTCGATCCTAATACATCCTTCCAACACGTGCATCAATGTTTCATGCTCCCTTTCACAAATTCTACAACTTCCTTCTTTCTCTTTCAGCCACCATCCATTTTTTTGGATTCTAATACATCCTTCCTTTTGTTTTTTACTTTTCTTCAGATGAGGAATGTAGTCATATGTCCCCGCTTAAGAATATAAAGTGATTAAGTAACGATAATAATGATTGTCAGTAGAACTTTGCTCACAAGTTTAACAAATAGTACCACAATGAGTTCTTTCGAAGTTTTTGAGTCTACTCTACATTAGGAACGTAAACATACCCCCCTGCTCAAAAATATAGAGTGATTAACTAACGATAACGATGGTTATCAGCAGAACTTTGCTAAAAAATATATGAACAATACCACAATGAATTATTCCACAAAAAACTCAGATATTGGTATATTTTATGTTTATGATTTGCAGTTTAATTTGGTATATTTTTGGGAATTTGTTTTTTACTTTGGTATTACGTAAACGAACTAATATTTAAAGCGAAAGTGTGAATTAACGTTCCACATACACATGCGTTGTTCTTTTTCTAGACGTTGATATTTCGTTTCTAAACAAAATTTTAAATTGTAAACAAATTCGCCAAAGAATAATTGTCCGTCAGCCGAATTCGAAGGACTTTAAATTTATTTCTAGAACCAGTAATAAAACAAATTCGATTAGCCACTTTTTCACACGATAAATTTGAGTTACCTACCTAAAATTAGTTCTATTCTAGTAGCATAGTTAACAAGTTCGGTTTTTATGACTGTTTGAGTAGGTGGAGGAATTAGAGACCGAAAATCGATATTTGCCATTTATTGAGTAAGCAAACAGTTAGTTAAGACGTGCCAATTTTTATTAACAATTTTATCAAATGTCCAAAATAATCGATTTTGTAATTAAATAATTCGACAATTGAAATATTTATTAATATTAATTTTATTTACAACCTCAGATTAAGCCGTGTTTCAATTATCTCTTAATGATTTATTAATTCGCTCATTTGCATAATATCAATTACCTATGTCGAAAGGATTTATTTATTGCAAATCTTAATAACAATTATTCGTTTTTATAATTTCGCGCTTGAAATGTTTCAGTTTCTGAGATTCTTTTTTACCATTTAGGTAAGGCAAGGTCCAATTTTCACTTCTAGTTTTTCTTTATTATTCATTTAAATTGCCAATACCTTTGCAGTATCTTTTATGTTTATTTGAAATTGAAATACCATAACTGTAGGTACTATTATTATTACACATGCATTATTGAGATCAATAAACAATTTCACATTAGATTTATTCAGTATAATATAAGTGAAATTTTCATATAAACATCAGTAAGGTAAATTAATTTCTTTATGTATATTTTAGTGCCATCTTTAATTAGTTTGTAACACAATGGCGGTACAGTCTATGGACATTTCAAAAGATGGCAGCACGAAAAGGAACCTCTACTGTCGGTAAGTTCACACATCTGTATTATATTGAATAGAAATATTGGTTTCTTTGACAAATATATATTTCCAAAGCATATTTCAAAGAGGTTAAAACTTAAGATCTAAAGAAGGACAAGTTTCTTAGGCAAATTTCTACAAAACTCTTTCATACTTAAAGATATTTGCTGTTGTTCGGCTGTTAGCCGATAGAGAGCCCCAAAATGCAACTAATGGTATTGATTTTAAAACAAAATGGCACTAAGGTTCGGTTACCAGTAGCATTAGATACTTATTTTTTTATTTATTTCTGACATTACACAACAGCATTCAAAAATAATAATGGTTAGGTACTACAAATTAAGTCAGTTTAAATTATTATGGTAGATCTAAAAAATGGTCACAACAAGGCTTTTGTAAACAGCAAACAGTTAACACGAAATAGACGAAGTTGCATCAGAAAAAGAAATGCATTTTTAAATAAAAATAATAATCACACAAGAGAAATGCTTAGTACACGCGATTCTGCTTCACAGTTTCTAGTTGATAGTGATGGTGGAGAAGGAACTGTAAACAAAACGTAAGTTTGAAAAAAATGTGCAATATTTACCTTATAATTGGTACAAATTTGAGTTATTAAAAATGAAAAGGAATAACTATCAAATTTAAATCTCATAAAACCAATATACTCTACATTTAATTGCAGTTAAAAACACCCCGTATATAATGCAGCTGATTTTATTCTGTTATGCGTTATTTTTAATTTTTCATTACTATTACAATAATTAAAATACACCTAAATTACCCAATATTTTTTATAACAAGATAAAACAGAATGCACTGAATGTTTACTGTTTACTTATAAAGTTTTCTTTAAGTAATTAATGTATTTAAATAATGGGTGTTGTCGTGCATTTATTTTTCCCTTTGATGTTCCGATAAATACAAAAATAAGTAGTAATGTGTAATTAGCAGTTACCGCAATTATTATACTGAGATGAATTCAGTTTAATTCAGCTCGAATAAGAAATAATACAATTCCGACATAATAAATTGACCTTGTCCTCAAACAATAAAAATTGTTAATTTCCAAAATTTCTTATAAGAATTTTAGAAACAACAATTGTAGTTGTACTTATTACATGATGTTCATTAAGCTACACCCTGTATGTTACAGGCAGTGCAACACGTAATTATTTCTTATGTTGATAGGTAGCAGCACAAGTCTTCGTTTTGTTACTGTACCGATAGATAGATGGCAGTTCGACATTTTATTATTTTATTGTGTTTTTAGATGGCAGCACAACTTTTTGTTTTGTAGCTTTATTTTGTGTTTTTTAATGCCTGCTTTCTTTTGTTTCAGTCCAAGTTTATCACGAGGGAAAAAGATAGGAATACTAGCACTCATATTGCTCATCCTCGTCTGTTTTCTTGTCGCTTTCTTGTTAAGAACTCTTGCAAACGATGATAACAAAGAACTCGTACCCCCCAACCCTACTAAACAATTACCCTCTTCAGCATCGAAACTTAAGATATTCAAAAAGGCAGCTGTTTGCGCTGATGGTCCCCCTTGTGCTGAAATAGGAAAGTAAGTATAACCATTTTTACTATTTTCATTTGGGCTTCTTTCTAATGATGGTCTTGCTTCTTTTTGATTTAATATTAATTAAGAGATTGTACAACAAGTATTAATTAAATATAATGCTAGAAAGAAACAGTTAACTATAAAATACAAATAAAAGCTTTTGTACGCTTGCTAACAATCGTTCGTTCCTGTATATTAGGTTGCCTAAGTTATAGTATGGAAATAATTCGTTATGTACAGGGCGATACTTTTTTATGAAATAATGACTGGATCTAAATCTAAATATTGCTATCAATCACATGTTGGTTAATTTAATTCTGAGGAAAAGTACGGAACTTAGTATCTATACAGTTTAATATTTTATTAAATGTATGGATATAAATATAATGGATTTACGATAACAGTTTTATCTCCTTATCGACGATAATACATTTTTCAAAATTGTGTTGGTGAAGTGTTCTATTTACTCATTTATACGCTTTATCGAACAAGATTTCGTTTTTCAAAAAATCTATTTATTTACGATTTAAATTTTACTCTATTTGCTTAATTGGTTAAAAAAAGTGTTTACACGTTATCATCACTATAATTATTGCCTTGTCTTAATTATTGAGCAAAAACAGGTACCTAAGCTGAACAGTAATTTCGAAAGATATTCTAGAAGCCATCACCTACTTACATATGTATCAGTCTGCATATTTATGTATTGCATACAAAAGTATACGAATATGGAAAGGTATTCTAGAATATTCAACAGTATTTCAAACGAAATTATTCAGAATTTTTTGTAATTATATTTTGGGTTTTACGTTAATTAAGTTATTTTATATAATAAAACTCGAAATAATACCTACTTAAAACTTCTCTAAAAATAAAAAGCGAATTTCCGTTAAGCAAATATAGATACAGTGAATTTTCATTTCAAAATACAAATTTGATATTAATAGATAAATTTTGCATAATTTACCTTAATAAATTAACCAAGCCGAGAAAGAATTACTTGTATCTTAATATTTTATTCGGAACAATGAAAGAAAAGTGTTTAATAAAATATTTATAGGAAACACATCATTCTACTATTTGATTGCACCTGGTATATCAATAGAAAGTATAAATACAATAATGCTATCATTTTTATATAAAATTTTCCTATCTTATTTTCCAACGTACTCGTTTTCAACAGCTATCATTTGTTATCAATTATGTATTTTCCAGATAAAGAAATGTAAATAAAAATATTCTATAATAAACAATAATACAAAATCCAGTCACCTTTGCGTCCTTTTTACGTTAAGCGCATGCGTTAAATACGTTATAAATTTATCGACATGGAAGGTCGGCAAGCAGTGTTTGTATTAGAGTCATCGACCGCAGACAAACGAGTTTTCAGTTGTGTTATCATATCGAGTTGTGTTGTAGTGAATTTTAAAAATGTCAGAAAGTGAAGTGAATCTTTTTGATGAATACGATCGTTACAATTTCGAGTATGACAAGTACATTTTTTCGGGACATAGCGGTAAACAAAGATCAAAGAGGGAGGCATCAGAACACACCAATCATTTTGACCCGAGTGGACATTCTAGAAAAATCCTCACCAAGCTCATGAACACCGAGAAGAACAAGAAAATGGAAGTCGAAGTGAAGCACTAGTTCTCATTGTTTTAAAAAAATATGATTCTATGTGATTTTCGTTTTTCCGAAGACAATTAGCGCTAGTTCAGGACTGTGATTTTTTGTTTACCGACATGATTATAAATTTCGAAAAGTATATTCAACAGTGACGTGATGTGTACGCTTCAAGGCTAACAACACCTCAGCCTACAATTTATTATTACATGTATTGATATTGCTTTCGTTGTCTTATTTATGAAATCAAATCTATTATCATTAATATACACAATCTCACTGAGTATGTCTTTGTGTGATACTTCACACGTATGCATTTCTGATTTCAGAAATATAATTTCTTGCATCATTTGTTAATGCAATTAATAATAAATAAAAACTTTTTGTTTTACCTCCTGAGTTTTTTTTTTGTAATACATAGATATAAACATACTTATTTATTTACAATGCTATGGAGTGTTTAGATAAGATGATAATTTTAACTTTATTGGTGATGAGCGCAGCAGGTTTTGATTGGTTGAGGAATTGGGAATATACAAAGTATGATCCAAAAGTAAAGGTCTGAGTGAGGTTCCCATTATAAAAATAACAGTAACTTATGTTTATTAACATTTAATTGTATTGTTTTTCTACTTTGAAAAACTGATAAGTAAATCAAGTAATTCATAAATGAGATTAAGTAATTACACTACTTTATATATACCATGCATAATAATTATTCTGTATTTTTGTAATAATATATCCAATTCGAAGTAATTCTACAACTTCTTTGTCGACCATCGTATATAACTTAATTTAATAATAGTAAACTTCGTTTGATCTAATCATCTATTTGAACTATTGATTTGACCTTCTATCCTGTCTATCTAAGCAAACTGGTGTAATCATTTTAATAAACAAAAAATGCAAACTGCTTGATAGACAGAAAACGAATAAGTTTTGAAAACAATGTTGCAAATTTGTTTATTTCGTTATGTACCTATGCAATTAGAAATAATTAATTAATTACGTAAAATATCTATTTAAAAACCTCTAATATTTTGCGTGTTCCTTTTCGGAATTATTACAACTCATAAAACTTTAAATATCTTACAATAAATAATTAATTAGGGCAGCTAATAATTCAACAAGCATTACACAGGGTGTTTAAAATCAAATTAGGTTGAAAATGGATTTCTTTTTGTTACCTGTTTTACGTTTACTTGATAATATTATCTCTGTTATTGTTAATTAATGAGTATGAGTAACTTCTTTGTTAATTTTGGATATCGTGTAGGTAGGTGACAAATGAACAAAAGAAATGATTACATTTTTTTGATTTCTTTGTGTATTTAAACGAATAATAAGTTATAAAAAATTAAAACAATATACATATACAAAAGTACATTTTTTAGATATAAACAATTTGCATTGAATTAGTTCAGATTGTTGATAATTTATTTGATATCAATTTTATTAATTTTAAAAACTAAATACTAATTGAACTGCTTCGATTTTTCCTACGTATATAATAGCGAGGCCAGCTAGTTTTTCAAAAAATTCTGTCCAAAGCCATAAAAATGGATTCAACACACAATAATATGATATGTTTCAAGGTAATTTTATTACCGTTAATAAAGTCAGTGAAATAATATTAATGAAAAATTTATCTACATACTGTACGTATAATATGCACTTCAGCAAAAATACAAAACCTGAAGGACTCGTATATAAAAGAGCATAATATACAGGGCGTTTTAATTATGTATCTAACGTCTGCGATTATTTTAATTACCTTTAAAAAATACTTTACGTGTTGTTTTTAATTTAATAGCGTTGACACATTTTTAAGTGTTTATTATTATTTTTTCAGGTCAATATTAGAACAAAATGGATCTGCGGTCGATGCAGCACTTGCAGCAATGTTCTGCAATGGACTGGTCAACATGCAAAGTATGGGATTAGGGGGAGGGTTTTTTATGACAATCTATACGCGAGACACGAAAACTGCTGTCACATTAGACGCCAGAGAAGCCGCCCCTCTCAAAGCTACCCCCGATATGTACAAAACTGATCACGACAAATCAAAAAAAGGTAACATTGAAACATAAATAAAAATTATACAGTCGTCATTATTAAATTAAATAAATGAAATCATGTATAAACTTTGTTAAAGCATGAGAGATATATTTTATTAGAAAAAAGGGGTAATTTCTTTTGAGATATTAAACAATTGTTACATTTTTGTAAGGTGTCGCCCAAATTTTCGATCTTGCATTTTAATACGCTTTCATTTGACACCCAACACGATTATCCTGAATAATCCTTGAAAGGCGCCCCCTCCCCTTTTCAAGCATCATCAAGACTTTAGCCTAAAATCGATTTTCATTTTTTTTTACGTTGTTTACTAGTCCTCACGTTTGTTACTGCTTCTGACATTAAATGTGATATTTAACAAAGGTATTCTTGCGGTGGGTGTTCCCGGAGAATTAAAGGGATATTGGGCGGCTCACCAACGGTTTGGAAAACTTCCATGGAACAAAATAATTGAGCCCACCATTGAACTGTGCGAAAGGGGCTACAATATAAGCAAGGTCCAATATGACGGCATGCTCAGCAGCCCCCACATGAAGAACGATCCCGTTCTCAAGTAAGTCAAATTCACGAACATTTATTGGTCTTTAATATTAATAATGAAATTATTTTATTTTTATTTACTTGCAGAGAATGGTTTGTTAACGAGAAAGGTAATTTTAATGCCCCAGGAACCCTTGTAAGACCTACCAAACTTTGTGATACGCTGAGACTGATAGCCCAAAATGGCGGTGACGATTTTTATACGGGAAACATGTCCCGAATGATCGTAAACGACATAAAGGAACTGGGGGGTATTATTAACGAGGAAGACTTAAAGGTTTACACGTAAGTATAGCTAGACTCCTTATCAGTTACCTTTTAATATATTTTTTTTATTCAAGGGCAAAATGGCGTGAACCAATTTCGGTAACATTTCAAAATGAAGACCGCTTATATTCAGTTCCACCCCCTGCGTCTGGAGTCTTATTAGGGTTTATTCTCCGAATATTAGACGGTTACAATTTTTCACCTGACAGTATTAATACTATTAATGACACTGTGTTAACATACCACAGAACCCTGGAGGCATTTAAATACGCCTACGCAAGAAGAACAGAGTTAGGAGACCTTAATTACGTCAACATAACATCGGTAAATCAGGATTTATTTTATGCACTTTCATTTTTATTCTTTTTTAATTATATCGATTCTATACGTGATTCTAAAAAAAAATTTTCCTTTGCAGTTTTTCGATCAGATGTGTACTTTTCGAGTTATTAACAACCTAATATTGCCCAATTAGAGCGCTGCTGCTTTGCTGCAAGCTGAAACAAGTGCATCGCTGCATACAAAAAAAAACAAAAGCTTACTTCTTCTTGCAGCACAGCAAGCGCGCTGCGATTGGTGGATTACTAAATTGTTGATTACTCGACAACTATGCATCGGATTGAAAATCTGCAAAGGAAATTTTATCTTAAAATACAGAGCAGAATCGAATGGTGTCCATTTCCAAAACACCCAGTACTTGTAATTATATTTAATGGTAATTTTATTTATGTAGTTACTAAATAATCTTACATCTTCGAAATATGCTGAACAAATCAGGAAAAAAATTGACGACACCACGACAAGCCAAAAACCGGAAGATTATGGGGCCGTTTTCTACAATCAGGAAGACCATGGGACGGCTCATATATCCGTGTTGGCAGAAAATGGTGACGCTGTTTCCGCTACAAGTTCCGTAAATCTTTAGTAAGTGTATTACCTCATTGTACTGCATAAACTTCAGGAGCCTACAGGCTTTTTTTTTATAGTTTTGGTGCTGGTATAACATCAAAATCTACGGGTATTGTTTTGAACAGTGTGATGGATGATTTTTCGTTTCCTTATTACAAAAACTATTTTGGTCTGCCAGGGTCCCCAAGTAATTCTCTGCAGCCGGGAAAGAGGTCACTGTCATCCATGAGTCCCTCCATAGTAACAGATAAAAATGGGGACGTTCGCGTAGTCATTGGTGCCTCGGGAGGTACCAAAATTACAACAGCAGTTGCGCTGGTAATAGACATACAGAACATGAAATAATTTGAAAAAAAAAAATTTTTCCTAAATTTTTAAAAATATTTATCATATATTGATTATTGATCAGTCCATTAATATTTTCCAGGTAATTATGCGAACATTATGGTTTGGACAAAATATTAAGGAAGCCATTGACGCTCCCAGAATTCATCATCAAATTTATCCCATGAAAGTGTCTTATGAATATGGTAACCTACAGGTACGTTATGATACATATTTATAAATTTTTACCGTAATGTTACCATAAATTCTTAACTTTGCCAATATCGCACTGGTACATTTTTTTCTTTTTTTTTCTAGCAAGTTGTTGAAGGATTACAAAAAAAGGGACATAAAATGGAACGATATTCAGAGAGGGGGTCGATAATATGTGCCTTGCTAATAAAGAACAGTACTATTTTTGCAAATGCGGATTACAGGAAGGGAGGGGAGGTTTATGGTTTAGATTGAAAATTAAACAAATGATTGTTTTATTGTTAAAAGAAGATAACAGTTTATTATATTTGCTTGTGGTTTTTGCCATGAGATTTTGAACGATACCGTGCCAAAGGAGAAAAACACCCCGTAGATGAATTTTACTAGATTTTAAATAAAATAATATTAACCAGTTTCAAATTATTTATATGTTAAATTAATTGTTACAATAAACCATATTACATTCACTCCCATATAAAGATTTCTTCTTATTTTATTTTTATTTATTGGTAATTGATTGCAATAAAACATAATTAATCCTTTCATCAATAAAATAGGCAATACTATTTACTTTCTGTATTTATAAATCGTACAAATTTTGAATGAAATATATACCAAAGAATAATGGTGGCATCTATAATATACTTAGTAAACTAAAGTAAAATATTCCTATACAATTATCTATAGATTTACTTTACCAATTTCGCTTTCTATGGTAGCATATTGCTGTAATATCACGTGGTGTAAACTATCAACTACAAAATATCAAATTTTCACTTTCTAAATACGAAAGTGGAGTAGATGGGTTATATTTTTTAAAAAACACTTTGGTGAAATAGTTCACACAAGGATGATGTAATTTCACAAGCATTTTTAAATTCGCATTAATTAAATTAAATTTTGTTTTAATCGATTGTGTTTTATGTTAGACGTTGGCTATCCTGGAGTGCACCATACGCCATTGTAAAGTCTTTCACTTATCGTAGTCTTATTACAACATAATATTTATTTTGTTAATATTTCTAGTGGTCTAATTAATTAATAAATAACGTTTGTCGCGTGTGTATGTCTGTTTAGTAAATTTTGTTACGTTTTTAAGAAATAAATTGTGCAAAATGGGTCGCAAAAAGAAGAAGATGTCGAAACCGTGGTGCTGGTATCCTTTTTCATGTAATTTATTTAGATCGGAGTATTTGACGCAGTATTGCATACCCGGATATTTTTAGAATTTTATTTTTAGTTTTGTAATTTCCTTAACCCGATTTAGGTATTGCAACCGAGAATTTGAAGACGAAAAGATTCTAATTCAGCACCAAAAGGCTAAGCATTTTAAATGTCACATTTGCCATAAAAAATTGTACACGGGTCCAGGTTTGTCAATTCATTGTATGCAAGTGCACAAAGAAGCAATAGACAAAGTTCCAAATTCGCTGCCAAACAGATCTAACATTGAAATTGAAATTTATGGAATGGAAGGTAAGCACCTAAGCCAATTCTTGCTTATGTAACATGTTAACTTTCTTTTTGCACAAGTTTAAATTTAGAAGTTAATATATGAAGATTTTACCATTCAGATGACCTTAGAGACAGCAATTTCAGTTTTCAGTATAGTCCGGCAATTTATATGACTTGCCATATTTCTCAGTAAAATGTAATTGTTTAGTTTCATTGTGATCATTAGCAGTAATTTCTTATCACCTTTGCTTATGTGTGATTTTTAATGTTGTACCTCAATTAGTATAAAATGAAACAATTTAAATAAAAAAAACAGTATCAGATAACATAAACATGTTTATGTTAATTACATTTTAATGATATCACAAGTATGCTTTTTTTGCAGAAGATAATGCTATACTAATTGATAAATATAACTAAGAATTTCTTTTATTAATTATTTCATTACCAACTAATTAAAAAATATGTAGGACCTGTATACCATTTGATTTGGCAGCATTTTTGAAATTAAATATTTTTTGTCCTGAAGGTATACCCTCTCCAGATTTAAAGGAACACGAAAGGTTAAAGCAGGGTGGTGCGGGTTCAGATGATGATGATGAACCGGCAATGAAGAAGAGTAAACCTGAAGGTTTGCTCGGAACAGCCCCTGGATCATCTAGTGCATCACCTGGAATTGTCCCAGGCATGATGACTGGAGTTCCACCGGGAATTCCCATGATGGGACACATGGGTCACATGGGGCCTCCATTTGTACCTCATGGGTAAGTCAATTTCATTATTATTATACGTTTTCACGTTATTAAACGTTTTCTTTTAGAATGTCACTAATTCCACCTCACATGATGGCTAGTCCTGCAAAGCCCCTGTTCCCTAGTGCAATTCCTTCGTCATCGCCTGGGGGAGCACCTGTTGTTGGGGCGGACTTTAAACCAATTAGTTCAGGTGAATTACTTATTTCTAATTGCTGATAGTGAAAAGGCATGCAAAGTTAATTAGTTGTGTCTGATCATATTAATTTGCTTCTTGTTTGTGTGAAAACTTTAATTAAGGTTTATTAATGAGTTAAAGATAAAGATAATTAAAAAATATTTATAAATGGACATTAAACATTACTTTATGCAATTATATTTGAAGACCTTACTCAATAATTTACCATTTATGTATTTATTAATTTTATACTTGCAAGTAACACCTTTTATTTATTTCAGATTTAATACTTTTTATTATTTGTTGTCGCCTTTGTATATTAATTATTTGTGCCTTATTTATAGCAGCTACGATTAGCGCTCCTCCCACGACAAATTCCACGGCTGGAGGCGGTGGTTCGGGAGGCGAGTCGTCTAAAGCGAACACGATCATTACCACGGGGGCGGCCAGTAAAATTATCCACCCCTCAGAGGACATATCGCTTGAAGAGATTCGTGCGAGAAAGTCCAAGTACCAAAGGAGCATTCCGAGCAAAGAGAACGAAATGACCATGGCGTCAAGCAGTGCAGCTAGTGAGGTAATTCATTATTTCTTTTTTATTACTTATTACCATGCCTAAACTAACATGGCGTCCACAAAAAAAGCTAAAATGTCACTAGTGTTTTATTTTATGCATTTTAACGTTAAATGTATTATTGATTATTGTACCCAGTTTGTAAATGATCAATATGGCGGCCACAAATGAAGTTAAAATGTCGGTGGTATTTTGTTTTTTGTGTATTTTGGGGTTAACTGCCATTATGTTGGCAACTAGATTAATTAACTTCGTTTCTGTTGTTGACCGTCCTTTATTTTGATTCAGTTGGCCAATGCCGTTCACCAAGCCCAAGCGGCTGCGGCGGCTGTGAATCACGCGAAACAGCAGGAGGCGTTGAATCACGCCGCTATGATGCAGCGTTTCCAACGGCCACCCATGATGATACCGGGCACATCCGTCAGTATGCCCCTGGTGACCGCCTATCGACCTGCAATGATACCTGGGCCGCCGATTTACGTGGGCACTAATCTGATGCGACCGCCACCGATCAGCATGCCACCAGGTACGTAAACATATCAGTAATTATGGCTATCGACGATAATGTACGTACGCAATAAATTGTAGTATCGCGAATACCGGGCACAGCTGACTTGATCGAGTGCTAATATATAGAGTAAATTGACTATTTGTTTTTCAACAAACAAAATAAAAATATGTTACCATGTAATGAAGTTGGCTGTTTAAGAACAATAAGAGTGGAAGAAATAGTCAATTAGTTTTTTAGTTACTTTTGTTTTTGTAGCTCACTTAGGCATTCCTCAGAGCAATTTGAAAATTTAGAAGCGATAAAAATGGAAAATAGTAATAGTCCTTTTGCTGAAACCATTAAAAGTATGCACAATAGTATATTTGTTTAACTATTACTGAAGAAGTTTTGTTTAAACTTAATCATTGTGATGTTCGGAACAATATCTTAAATTTGCAAGTCTTGACTATTGGCAGTTGTAATTTTCTGGTGAACAAATATAAAAGGAGCAGTTCCACAGTATATGTTTAGCTGTTAAATTTTAGGAAAATGACTAGCGGTTTTTAATTTTTTATTTTATTTTTTTTTTGTAGATTGTAGATAGTAAAATAGATGACTGCTGTTTTATTTTGTTCTATGAATTTGAGTGAAAAATATTCTTTTGCATTTTCGACCAATTGCAAGATGCGAACGACCTTGCTTTCTTTATCACTTTTATTTAATTGTCGTTTATCTGTAGATGATTAAATTAAAAAAAAAGTACTCGAATTTATTATCAACCTACAAGTGGTGGTGACAGGAAAGTGTTTTACATATTTGATTTTTTAATGTTCCCCTTTTAGAGCTAAGCTACTGGAGGTGAGCCACCTCAGGTAGAATAGTATGAATAACGGACAGAGAAATATCTAATCCGTCTCGTTTGTACCCAAAAGGGGATGGGGTGCTGACATTAAACGGCAGCCTATCGCGTGCAGAGTGATTGTGAAACTCCAATTGCACTATCTTTGCTCTTTCTAGACTTTACAGGGATCTGCTGTTTCTACTAGGTACGTGCAGTAGTTTGGTTGCCTGTCACAAGATGGCAACAGTTAATGAGACATATGCTACGCGTCTGTCGCATCTTGCCGTTGTTTGTCAATACGTACTTTATTTTATTTTACGAGTTGCGTGTACGTACACAATGATAAAAAATTGTGAATGATGAAAGAAGCAGTGGTGTTTTATGGCTATAAAAGACGCATTAGTCGACGAGTGTATTTTAAAAACAATTTAAAAAGACTTTTATTTTTGAATTGATTACGAAGCGGCACCAAGATAACAAAAGCATCGAGTTAACGTTTGTTCTGTTGAAGAGAAGACGTTCTGGTGGGGCGTGTCGACTTCGTCCCAGGTACCAGTCACGCACTCTGTGTTCGCATGCTATGCATTAAATACTACATACTTGTATTATTTATTATTATCATTATTACTATTATTATATATTATCTGTCAGTCGCTAAGTTTGCCAGTAATTGGTTGATTGGTTGATTTCTGTTTCTTTTACTATTACCTTTTTTTTTATTCTTTTTTCGTTTCTTTATTTAATTTTTTTTACAATAATTGTCGATTAAATATTAATTTAATCTGCATTTTTACATGATTTACTTATGTACTAAAAAATCAATTTATTATAGTATCGATTGCGTGCGTTAAAAAGATAAACAACGTATAGTGAGAATATTGTCATTCTAATTTTTACATCTCCTTTTTTAATGTATTTCTTTTCTTTCGGTTTTTTTTGTTGATAAAGGGTGTGGACGCTTTATTTAGATTTGTTAATCGGCTGAAGGCTATTCAGAAAACGATGTTGCACTGAATTCATTTGGAAGTATACACACCTCTGTTAGTTTCCAATAATTTTCGTAATTAGTTAAAAAATCACATGCTGATGGAATATATACATTTTAATAATGTTAATTTTTTTAAAAACTAATAAATATTTGCATTTCTTCCATCTACCAATATATTTTTACTTTTAAATTTGATGATGTCTATTCGTAAATAACAGTTAATTAAATATATTTGTTTAGTTTTCGACAATAACAGTTCAACATTGTTTTTTGTCCTTTACCGTTCGTATCTGTAATCAAGCATTTTTCACCTTTTTGAATATTAGTCAGTTTGATTAATTTTCCACAGAATCACCCCCTAGGTTGTATGGTCTGGTAGTCGGTCATGTTTGTAATATAGCTGTGTGTCTTTTATGTGTTAGCCTTATCTCGTTACTTTAATTTTGTTTTTTTCACAACAGGTAGGTATCTGTATGGCGTATTCCGATTCTGTTGGGAACAGGGTCGAATACAACCGAACCTAACAGTAACCGTTCGGACATATTCGTAACTGCTTCGAATAGAAACTGAATATGCCGTATTTTTTTTTTTTTTTTTTCATCTATAATGATAATTATTCGTTAAAGAATTTCTGCTGACGTAACATAAATTCGAGGCAATTAAATATATTTTTTGGCATTCGATAAGGCAACAGATGTATGTAAGTAAAGTACGTATATTTGTACTCATGTTAGTTTTTTCCTTGTTAAAAAAAATGACAATATTCGAACTGTCGCTTGACCTTGCCACCACGCGATCTGCAAAAGCGAACGATCGGTTTTGTTATTTTGCCTTTTTTTCTTGTTTAGGATTGATCGGGGTTCCACCGGGTATGGTCTATGGGGCACCGGCAATGTTTCCGGGTGGACCTGTGTTCACCCCCATGATGCAACCCAGATTCAGATGATCACCCGTTTATCTTCTCTATCATCCGCAAGTCTAAAATTAGCTCTATATATACATATATATATTTATGCATTATTATTATTATTATTGTACATTATTAACGATTGGTTGGTTTTTTGTCCTAGTCGATTGTTCTTGGTCTTGTATACCTACGCTGGGCCCAGTTGACGTTACAGTTTAGGATAGCTTTAATTTCGATTACAACGTTGCGACTGATGGAATAATTAATTGATTTAATTGGTTTTTGAATAGATATTTTCTTAAAGTTGAATTTCCGTGGTGACTTCCACAATAAATATTGTATAGTTTGAGACTTGCTAGGGTGATCCTTAATTAATTTTTATAACTCTATCTGTTGACTGTAAGAAACCTTAATTTTAATTTTCTCCGTAACGAAATTTTTAAGAATCACCTATCACTAAACTACTGTTCTTGTATTAAAAAAAAAAAAATAGAAAAAAAGGGAAATAATAGATTAATAAGAGAAGCCAATTGTCAGAGGTTTGTACAAAATACTTATTACTTACTACTTTATGCAATTAATATTCTTGTTCTGTCTTAAATATATTATTTTTTCTGAAAAGGTAAGCTAAATTATTATTTTCTTTCCAATTATATCACTCCTCGGACACAAGTGGTTAAAATTCTTTTAATTTTTCAATAATAAATTGCTTTTCCTAGGAGTATGTCATGCGCCCTGAGGTAAAGGACTTTTTTTACAGAATAGTGTTGATAAACCACATGAGCATATGTAAGTTATGAATTATTTCGAATTTAATGTATTATATGATAAAAATACTTGGAAAATCGAATTTGTAACTTTGTTTATTGAAAACTTTCTTGTCTAAAATAAACACCTAGTAGTACCTAGTACTACTTTTCAACTTTGTTAAGCATACCAAAAAAATATTTGACATAATTTAAAACTTGTAATTAAACACATTTTAAATTATAGTGGTGTCAAAGCAAGTATTTTAATCATTGGAAGTATAATTCGTAATATATTTGTAACTTCCTATTAAAACCGTTCCCTAAGAAAAAATCACCAACCCTATCGATCACATGTGACCCTTATTATTACAGTGTGCTCTCCAAATCAATCACTATTACTCTATTACAAATAACAATATATTTTTTGTGAATTCATTTATTCATTAAAAGAATTTTAATCACTTTACTAAATAATGCTATAGATAATCAATAACAAAATCAAACCAAAAGAAGCATGAATAAAATAAGCTGTAAATGAGTAAATGCCTCAAATGAATATTTTACTTTTTACGCTATTGCATTTGTAGTTGAAAATACCTATTATTATTGTCATTATTATGGGTTTCTATAATGGTACTTAGGTCCGCATGGATCTTAACCGGAATTAACAGTTGAGTATGACAATTATTATTTGTATATTATCGACACAACACAAAATCAATCACTCATATCATCTTTGATGATGATATGTTTAAGATAAGGTACGAAAATTCTCTAATATTTTGCTATAATGGTTGGAGGCTAATATTACAATAAACGACAGTATTGCCACATATTAAACAACTTTTTTTGTCCATATATATTATTATTTATTTATGTAATTAATTAATTCAATGTTGTGTCCGTTACAGAGCGAAAGATATATTTTTTTATTTGTTATTATTTGTTGTTTAATATGGTTCAATATCATTGACTTTGATTCATATGCATAAGTTATAAGTTAAAGATATGTTTACGGTATCAAAAACTAAATTTTTTTAGATAGAATCCTAAATGGTTCACCTGTTTATACTGTTGAAGTAATGGAACCAGTTTGACCTTTAAGGGCGATTAAAATTACTTTTAGTTTTTGATTTCGTTGAACATTTTTTAACGAATCCTCTTAAATATAGGTGGAACGTTCAGAATTGGCACAGTCCGCAATAAAAATGTCGCATTTACTTTTTTCTTTCAACTTACTAATTAGACTGGAACGGTTGCTGACAGAACGCCTACTTTTACTCGCTACAGACGTTGTAGGGAATATCGTAAATATAGAAAAGAGATGTCAGATAGGAATTGCAGCGGACACTAATAAAGAAAAGGAATAACATTACACCAGTTAGTGTGTAACAGAAAGAGATGCAGGCAAACAAGAAAGTTAAACATTCTCAGGAATTTAGGTAAGCAAAGACGTTTGCTTAAAGATGTAATTCAGTTATCTCTTTTCACTTTATCTGTACTATTTATGAAGTATTTCCTAACTTAACAAGGGCGTGTTCAAAACGCAACAAATGACTACAGTCCCAAGTGGAAACAAGAAAGAAGATACGTCTATTCTCACAGATAATTTATTGCGAACTTTGCCAATTTTGATCGTCCCAACTATATATGAATCAATCAATTATAAATCGACACCAAGTGGGATGTAATCTAGAGGCAGGCGACATACGTCACAGCCTTAGCTGTTGGATTGCAGTGACCCCCTGTTTTTGGTATTTTGCGTCATTATTATAGTGTGTTATATACCTCTCTACATTCATACATGCATACAGTCCCTTTACTATGTCGATTATTTTCTGATTAATTTAATGATTTTCGTCGAATTCTCGCTATCATCGCCCCCGGCCTAGTTCTCCTTTTTGACTTCTCACTCTGTCTTTAATATCTAGATTAAATTGATTAAGCAAATAGAGAAAAAAAGTTGTATCTTTTATGGCAGTGCAGAATGCTAGAAAACAGGTGATTTCTGTCACAGCACTAGAATTGCTGTTGGGTCCCAGTCCCCTGCCACATGGATGTGGCTTCAAAAATTAAAAAAAAAAAAAGACACTTCAAACAGGCGATTGGTTCCGGCCCAAAAATCGGGTCGATCCGATCACAGGGGCGCCTGTTGGACCAACAAGGACCGTCTTCTTCTTCTTTAGCCGTCCACGTTGCAATTCATTTTGTATTTGTACAATGTTTATATATTTAAATGTGTAGTGTAATAATAATAGTAGATCAATTTTAATTGGTTCAGTAAAAAGAAGACGAGTACAGATTGGTTCCCTGTTTTGTTAGTAGTATAGGTATATGTTAACATACAAGACTGTAGTATCACTTTCGTGGTTTCTACAATAAATAATCAATAAAAAAAATATTTAAAATGGTAATGTGTTTTATTTACAGACATTTTACCAAAAATTCCCGCAGGATTTTACTATATTTTGTTATTTTTACCAAGTGTACCTTCAGGGTGGTAAAGATCAGAAATGGTACTGTGGTTTAAATACCTTTAAAGAAAAAATCCTTAAGGGATAAGTGTGGATTATTAAAATTTACCGAAAAATGGTCGTGATGAATTTTACCAAGCAATCATTTCAGTATAAGTACATTACTTATTTCATTCCTTTTTTTATACTCGTAAGATATTAAAATGATATAAGGGGTGGATCAGTTGGAAGTCGAATTGTATTACAATTATTGCTTAAGTACCTGTTCTAATTTCTTTTTTATTTTCTTGTTTTGTTACTTTTTCCTTTAATTTGGTTTTGACAAGGCCAAAATCGATAATAATTTAATTTGATGTATTAAAGTGAAAATAATTTCGATAGGTACTTAGGTTTGAAAAACACTGATAAGTAATATTAAGTCACTATTTATTTTTAGTTGATCGATTATTTTACAGTTCGAAACATATATTCATGCGATAAGCAGTGACATTTTCTTGTAAAAAATAATTATTTTTGCTACTTATTCTTAGTTGTTTTAGCTTTTAATTTCAGGTGTATTTAGAAGTAAAATTCTTCGGTATTTTATGTTGAATGAAATAGTAGAATTTTCTGGAATTAAGTATTATCTAATCATAGGTAGAGTTAATGCGAATTAGTTGTAAATTTTTATTTGTTTAAAGGAAAAAAGCCGATGTGGCGTCAACTTCCAAATATTTGTACAGGATGGCTGCATTATTATCACATATTTGTCGTAATCAATACGGTTTACACATTATAGAGATATTTTGTTTTGTTATCACCTTATCAATTTATTATTAGTGGCGAAGGCAGTGCACAAAAATCGCTTTTTTTCTAGCTTAACAAGTGACTCGTTTACAAATTCCACCGGTGCGGTGTTTGGTTTAAAGCGAATTTTATTAGTGCCAAAATAAAACGAAGAACCAGAGGTAAGCATGAGGTTCTTTTGCATTCTTACATATATTTTATTAATTTATTTAATTTAATTGTAATNTGTCATGTAATATTTTTCCAATAATTGCTGAATATAGCTCAGCTATTCAGTAGGGTGGGGCGTGATGCTTTCTTAACACTTAAGTTGCATGGCGCTTTGAATTTATTTAATGTAGCTACCTATCCTCAACAGCAAGTGCACACAATACTTTTTTTTTAATTTGTCGTTATTTATTTTGTATATTTTTGGCATACTTCACGTATCTGCAATATCCAGGCATCATTTTTTTTTAGATTCAAAATGCCAAGACCCTTGATTATAAACGTACAGTCCCAAAGAAGACCTTACCATTCCGGACCAAACGTGGAATCATTAGAACACTATACCAACGATGATATTGAAATTTATCACAGAGGGGCTCACGTGAACAGAAGTGAACACAATATACCAGACCATCGTCGTCGTGGAAAAAAATCCAAATATGCGCACCCTGAAAAGGAAACGCAGGAACCACCACGTAGGTATCGTGAGCATAATAGGGCGGAAAAGAGTACCATTACAAGATCGAAATCGTTAGCCGATCTCAAAAGAAATCGCCGTCCACATGGGCATGAAGATGAAAGTTCCAGAATGTACCAAAGAAGACACAGTAACACAGAAGCGCATCCTAAAATGTTTGACTTTAGGGAAACATTTTCAAAGTTCGAAAACTTGACCACCGAATCCCAGAATGGTAATATTGAAAGGGAATTTCAAACTGTTAGCTCTCCAAGGACCAGGGGAAGATCAACAGTAGATCAAGAAGCCTCTGATTTAAGAGAAATTGATCAAATAAAATCAAGAGCTAGACTCTTGGTTCAAGAAGCTCGTCAGTTTGGTCGAAGGGATAAACAGAACTACTTAGAGTGGCAAGATGAAGTGATACAGTTGCTCAAGAAAATTGGAGAAGTCGATAATAGGAACAGCGAAGCAGTCCAGAAAGAAAAGCAAAAGACATTAAGAATTTTTAAACAAAGCTACCCATCACCAGATGTTGCAAGGGTTGAAAAAGTGAAAACCACCACTGTACAGAATGGTTTATCCGAGAGCAAAGTAAATGTTTACAGCGAAGTTGATCCCCCAATTGTAAAAGTTTCCCAGTTGAGGAATATGTACGAATCCAAGCATTGGGACGAAGATCCCAAACCAGTTCCAACCTACAGAGAAACGAAATATTATTCTGAACTTCATAATTCCAGCAAGCAGTCACACGAACTAGTTAAACAACAAAATTTTGATGACAGTGAGTACACTTCTTCGTCAAGATATTCCTATTCATCTTCTTCCGGTTCTGATGAAGATAAGCCATTATACGAGACACACGAAGGTGAAATTCATGAAGTAGAACCTCCTCGAGAAAGAAACGTAGAAGAATCCCACATAGCTAAAGTGCGAGATTTAAGGAGTGTTTTTGAAAGAGATAATTATCAACCAGATGAAGAACTACTCCCTACTAACACTAGCAGTAAACTGCCTGTTCAAATCGCTAGAATGCCTGTAGAATCAGCTCAAAAAATTGAAGAAAGAGAAAAACCATCTGACGAAGAAATACCTTCTACTAAACTGCCTACTCATATTGTCACAAGGCCTTCAAAATGGTTTAAAAAAACTGAAGAAGACGAAGAAGAAGAAGTACCACAAGAAGAATCTTCAGGAGTATATAGAGTAGACGATGATGGATTCATTGTAGAACCTAATGATGGCACACCAAGAAGAGTAAGAGACACGTTAAAGGACGAACAGATTGTCCATTCCGTCACAGTTAAAGAACTCAAAAATGTTTTTGAGGGAAATGGACCTTCTCAAAATCCAGAAGTCCAAACCGCAACCATGCAAATTGCACATGAACAAAAATATATTCCTTATGAAGAATATGACAATAATATGCAGCAAACAGTAGTAATCACCGATTTAAATAATGAAGAAAACGATGAAGAAAATCCTGTTGATACATCGCATATAGCTAAAGTGAAAGAACTGAAAGATGCGATTGAAAAGAACGAAGATAATTCTCAAAATACTACTAAAATCAATCAGGTACGATACCAAGTAGTTTATAGAGTTAAGCACCAACCATTGGTAGAAAATGAAGAGTCCGAAAGGGTTGTTATTTCTGAATTGACAACCACAAACGGTGAAGTTGCAGAGGAAGATGCCAATGAAGATAACGCTCAAAATACGACCGAAGAAAATCAGGTAAGATACCAAGTAGTTTATGGAATTAAACATCAACCATTGGTAGAAAACGAAGAGTCCGAAAGTGTTGTTATTTCTGAGTTAACAACCACAAACGATGAAATTGCTGTGGAAGATGCCCATGAAGATTCTTCAAGCAATAAAGATGAGATTTTAGAATATGGGACTAAGTTAGAAGTCGCATTAAAACCTGACGATTCAAAAGAAGAATCACCAGAGATTGTGGAGGATATAAAACATAATGTTGTAGTAAAAGAGACCGAACTTACTGACCAAGAAAAACTGTTGATTTCGAAGAAAGTTCTCGATGAAATTAATGAAGATATCCATTCATATGGAAAAGAAATAAACAATTTGGATGGTGAAGATGAAAAGAAAAGGATGTTTCTAAACGAAATGCTACTACGAAGTGTTATCCAATTGGAAAATCTTGAAACACAGGAAAACGAAGAACTTATACGAGAAAGAAAGGAAGCTTTGTTATTTGTAAGGGAATGTATTCGAAAATTAAAAGAAAACATTACTGAAGTTACTGAAACTAAT